AATTCCTTTATTGGGAGTAATTTCTTTTTTAAGCTTGACTAATCTCATGACACTAAAAGCCCAGGTTTGGGAACCTCTACTCTAATTAATACAGTACATAAAAGCCATCTGTTGCCTTATCAGCTTCACTGACTAATTAACCAGTTCTCTACATATACAATGCCACTGGCAGTTACCCAGAAAAAAAATATCCTTATGGGCACTGCCAACTGCATCATCAAGGTCGTTGGTAGCCAGACTTTTAAAAATTGCTCCAATTAATTTGCAGTTGATTATTATGATACTTTTACTGCTATATAGGAGCTCAACAAAACAAAATGGACCAAATGGAGATACCATTCAAAGGGTAATTGAGAAAATGATATCCCTGTATGCCTAAAGCATGCAGAAAGCCGCTGACAGGTCTAAATGGCTGGTTGCAAAAATCTGTTTTCCACACTGCCAATTGTTCATTACTCCTAATTAAATGGCCAGTCCACCCAAAGTATTTAATTTTAGAGGTGGAGCCTAGTATGCCGAGTCATCCCATGGTTTCTTGTGTGCCTTGGATACTCCAAAAGTTAGATTACCTGACATAATTTCTAACTGTCCACCTGGGAGTTCTGGGTGTTGTCTCCATTTGCATGTTCAAACACCTCCTGTTGTTTTCATCCTAGATCAAATAAATATCAAGTAAAGAGAGTGGGACCCTATATAATAGTAACAGAAGGTATGCAGACCCAGGAACTTAACGGTAAAGATTATATCAGTGGAGTCCCAGTCAAATGAGAATCTGTCAGGTGGTTTAATTCTACTGCATCTATCAGAAAGTGAAAAATCATATTTGGGTGGTATGATCCTTTTAACTAGTTGGATTTCATTTATACATTGTAACCATCCCTGTATTGGGGGAATTAGTGTCCACCTTTCACTCCAATCTCTAACAAAATATGTACACCCACCCCCTGCATGCTTGATGATGTCTCATTCATTCTGTGGTAGACTGGAGCGAATGGTGTGCTTCTCCTCTTTACTATAAGGGAATTTATCCTTATTTATGCTTGATGAAGCACTGCGTTTGCATTTGCAAAAAACGACGTTACACTATGATTCTCCCTCGGTCTGCCTCGTACATTGATTGAGAGAGCATACACAGAAGCCTGTGGAGGTAGGAGACCAGCATTTAGTTCAATAACAGCACTTTTATGACCAGCTGATATAGTTAACTGGTCTTTTCTGTTTTGTGGGTGTTTTTCGATTGGGGCTATATGTGTAGTGGCGGAACAGTTACTTGTCTGTTTGAAGACTCTTACTGATTATGCTGCACACTGATTCACATTGCTGAAGATCTGTGTTTGGACATGTATCATTATTGTTGTACTCCTGGGATTGAAAATTTTGGAGATTAAACTGCACTTTGAAAGTTTTTTATTTTTGACACATTTGCACAATATATAAATTGGATTTGCAGATGGTATATACAGTATTTGCACATACAGTACCTTGTACTGCTTTTGCACATGATATATGCACAATTATTCTGTATTTATTTATTTATTGTACTAAGTATTATTGTATATTGGTTTAAACAGCACCAGGTTACCAGTCTGGTGAGATGGGTGGCTTTGTGGTATAGAAATGTTAAGAGCACTGCAGTAACCTAGGTTAAGGGCATCAAGTGAGTAAATTAAATTGGCTTCATATAGATTGCTGTGGTCAGCAGTGATATTGGTTCCTAGTTTTGTTGTTTTGTTTTGGTTCTCAGCCCATCGTAATAGGAAATGCAATTTTATGTGGAACAGTTCTGGGTTGGGCTTTGAAATGTTTAGGGGTGCCAATTTGGGGAGGTTCATTTTAAAGTTAGATAAAGAGTACTAGCTGTTAGTTGTTTGTAATAAGTTGGGCAATGATATTGTATGATGTGAGATGAAATAGTCTGTGTATGCTAAAACTTTATGTTCTCCTGAGGAGCAGAGCAAGGGTTCTAGGGTGTGTATGAATATAAGTGGACAGAGGGGCACCGTATTATTATAAATAGCAAGCCAGGTACATCCTCTCCTTACTCCCTTTTTGGTCCATTAAAAATCCCACTGAAAGTATTTTGCTATATTTGCTTAACTCTTTCACTGCCACTGATGTAAGGCTTACAGCGGAACACAATCGCTTGCAGTTGGCTTACGTTGGTGGCTTTTACTGTTCTGCTATAAGCTCTTATACCAGAACTTATACCAGAACAGTTCCCCGATGGTCCCCTGTGAAATAATAGCTGTTGTCAGCGGCCACTGCTGACCGCAGCAATTTGCAGCCTCACCTCCCCATCTGCAGCCACTTCCAGGCTGGGATCTATTTCTCCTTGGATCCCCGCTACTCTCCCCCGCCTCTATCTATGGGCTGAGGCAGCAGGGACCCGCGGAGAAATGGCTGGCGGGAGGGGGGGATGGGGGGGTGTAGGAGGGAGTAGCTAATCAGGATGGTCGAGCACTAAGGAGAGTAGAACTGCCGGCTGTCAAATCCAGGATCGCCGGCGGCTCGGTGATCTGTGCGTGGCCAAGTGGCTCAGGATGGAGAGTGGGCGGATCATTAAATAACTGTGCTATTTACCAGTCCTCTGTGTGCAGGACAAACACTGGAGTGATCAGCTTATAATTACAGTGTTTGTAAACAACTGGGGACACAGTACTATGTGTCCCCAGTTATGAATGAACAGGAAGTGTTGTACATCACTTCCTATTCATTCATGAGTCTCTTAATGGGTAGAAGCAGCTCAGCACAGAGGCTTTTACCCCTTCGTAACTGGATAATAGTAAATACTTTAATATCTCCAGTTTATGAATGAATACTGAGTGCTTTCCATTCATTGAGTGTTGAGGCTGCAGAAAGAGAGACGACTCTGTGTCCTCAGTTTCTTTTTCTATTTCAAAAGGGAAATGTCGGGGACCTGTTTAGACCCCTGATATTTCCCCGTACCCACCCCCCCCAACAGAAAAGAAAATAATAAAAAATAAATATAATAAAACAAAACC